AAAAAACTGGTGTGCCAAATTGCTGAAAGGCCCTTAAATTCTCTTACAGATTTTTAACTATTTGTGACATAGAAAAGGAAAGAGACCTCAATATAATGTAATAAAGAGAAAAAATAGTACAATCTATAATACTAATTATTATAATAAAGAACATTATCATAAATTTTCTAGGAATCTTCTCTTCACCAATCATTTAAAATTATATTTCTTAATAATTGAGATGAGAATTATTGTTAATGTTCATGACTCTGTTTTCTTGGATAATCAGTTTCACTGAGGTCATAATTAAACAGAAATGTTCTAGCCATATAATATGTATATTATTCCTCTAGCTAGACTGTGAAAAAATATGTCAAATATATCTGCCCTGTGTATATCTGTGGGAACATTCAGGCTGGAATAGTGGTGGAGGAACTCCATGGACACTCTAAACACAGGCGAATGCTGAGCCTGCTTGAGCTGAGACCTCATCTCACTGTCAAACCCTTCTCTCCTTTGCAAGTGCATTTGTTGGGGGAAGGAGTCTCCTGTGAGTGGGATTTCAGATCTGCAGCTAAGAGCGACCAGAAGGAGAATATTAAAAGGGTTTTATTTTGGAGATGTTCCTCTGAACACAGTGAAGAAATGAATGGAAGAGAAAGCAGGAAACAAACAAAAAAAAGGCAGGAATTAATATTTCATCCAAAATCAGAAATAGAGAGAAATGTGTTTCTCAAACTTGGCTTGATTGATAGTTGCATTTTTTGCTTTCAGAGCCCTTGGCAATAAAGGTTCAGTGTGGGTAAGGGCAAGGTCTTATCACTCAAAAGTGAAAGAAACTCAGATATGTGGTTAAGTGCATTTTTACCAAAAAACAAGGCAAAAATATTTGCAAAAGGAGCAATTATAATAACTTTATAAACAGATAAATTAATGTAACATTATAATGTGATACAAATAGATGATTTAGAAGCTAATCTGCATCCAGCCTATGATGGCATAATCTGGTTTATGGTGAACTTCTGGTAGAGCTGATCTTCAATAACAATCTCTGCCCTTCTCCAAGCCATTGCACTTTGAACAAGAACTCCTCCAGCAGTGCTCTGCAGTACATGTGGTTTTAGGACAAACAAAATCTGTATGTTTAAAGACATTTGTATCTTCAAAAAGCAGTAAGGAATACCCAGAGAAGCTGTGCTCTTTGTTGTCAAAGCAAGAACATGAACATTTTGTAAAGTGCACCAACACTACATTCAGTGCCTAAGCTTTCACCATCATACCTGCAAGTGGGTGATGAGGTGAGCTGATCTTATGACCTTTTAAAATGTATCCTTTCTTTAAATTTGAGGCTATGAAAAATAGCTTGGACAATGTACTTTCAAACCTCAGTATTTAATCTCTTACTGAAATGATTTTTGAAAGCTATTTTGAATATTTTCCCCCATGCCCAAATCCACTTGTTTTTTCAGGGTTTTTTTCTCAAGAATATACAACTTTAAGAACATATTTGTGTGTTAGTTTTTCCACGAGAAAGAGCTGACACAACGATAAATGCGAGTAGCTCTGGTGAGCCACAGCAGAAGACATGGAAATGAGGAGAGAGTGGTTTCAGACAGAGTTTAAACAGAGGCCTCAGCTCTACAGGCCTGTTCATTAGCTTGAGTGGCCACTCCATGCCCTGTGCACACGCCGTGATGTCAGGATGCACTTGCCTTAAAAATGCACCTGTATGGGCTCATTCCTAGTGAGAGAGAACCACGGTGTGCCAAACAGAAAGTCCAGCATTGTGCAGGCACATGAGGGGTAACTCTGTTCACTTGGACATGTTATAAAGATGTCAAGAACAAGGTTGGAATACTTCCTCCTGGGTAGCATGTCATGACCTAAAAGGAGAGATCAATTTCATGCTGAAACATGAGATGTCCAGCACCAGAAGGGTCCTAAGATTGCTGTTATCTTTTCCATAATTTCTGGTTTTCACTCAGTGAATCATTTAGCTGGACTTCAGTGTCAGTGCCTTTATTACTGTTATCCCAAAGGAACCAACATGACCTCATAACATTTCAGTAACTCTTATGGCAACCATCAAATGATATTAAAAATAAACAAAAAAAACCAAACAAACAACAAAAAAACCCCAAACTATTTCCATTACAAACAAGTAGATTGATGAAGTATTGCTGACATTAAAAAAAAATAAAAACACAAAGCAATTATCCCCCTATACCATGGAAGATTTTTTGGAAGGGCAGTATCTTTCTCTGGGTTACATCATTAAAATGCAATGATCACAAAGCAGAAAGTGCTGTACTGTTACGTTGCTAGGTTTGCAAACAATAGACAATGCTACAAAATTTTTTAGAGTGTGATTTCTAGGCATACTCTTGGTGGCAAAATGAAAATTCAAGGACACAAGATGCTGTTTATTAGCTCCCAATCGAGTGTAGCAAGCTGACTTTGGCAGTGTTAACACCTTTTTTTCATGAAATCTTAAGGTCTTAAAACCATCCATTGCCTAAATTACTTTTTGTATACAGTAAAATGTTCATGTCGTGCTTCTAACACATACTGCAAAAATGTGTCCCTTTAATCACTGTGCACAACTCTGAACCCCTGGTTTTGTTTGTAGTTCTAAAAATTTTTTTATTATGTTACATTGAAAGACAACAACCAGTTCCTGGGAGCCCTGTAATATTTTGCTCACAGGCTGATGCTGTTCTGGTTGGCCCACCATGACAGTGTGTCAAGGTGTTCACACTTTTTAAAATGTACTTTCTGACCAGTAAGTAGGGAAAAAGGTATCCTTCTCCTCCTGAAAAGCATTACTGAAAACATTTTATGATGAAAATACCCATTGTTTCTATTGTTCCTTGCTTCTATCAGAGATAGCTACATCTCATAGAGACAGCTTGCTGTTTTCTACTGCTTTCCATACATTTTTACATCATTTCCATGCATTTCTACATTTCTTTTTTCTTTGCGATTACTTAATTTTTGTTGCTTTATTTTGTACTACAGAGCTATACTTTACATATCCTCACCTTCTCCAAAGATAAAATAATTCTGTTGCTTTTAATTAAACACTAGCACTTCTGCCAATTCTTCATGATTTAATATATGTAATACCATTAACTTGTGATTAACCTAGGTCAATATATCCTTGAAAGAGAAAATCTGAGTCTTAAATGCAAGAATTCTCATTTTCAAATCATATCTGGCTGTTTTAACAGGCTAATGAGCACAAAAAGGTGCAGAGAATTAATAACTGAATACCATATTCTTCCTATCTCGCCGTATTTCCAAAACATTTTAAAAAGACATATACATCTGTTCATTGCTCTGCTACAGATAACACAGGATTAAAGAATGTGCCTGTCAGAATAAGGATCAACATTTGTCTTTAAGATTGAGGCCTGCAAAAGTTCAAGCGAAAATTACACTCTAAAAGGCAGTCACCTCATGAAATTTTGTGAGATGAATAGGAAGACTGTACAGTCCTGTGCAGTGAGTTCTCACATGTTCAGCTCGTGATTTTATTCATAGACTAACTACTCTCTTTGGTCTTACCATCCCAAAATGAAATCAGGGCAATGGAATCTGAACATCCTTCTAATCAGAAAACAAAAAAGGATCTGATGCTTCCTAACCTCTCCTCCTCTTCTGCAAAGGACATCTTGTAGAAAAGGTCCAGAGGGCTTTTGTAAGATGCAAAACAAAGAGCATGGCTGTCGATGGGTGTGAGTGCTGTGAGGGCAGGAACAGATGGCCAAGCAGTTCCCTGGGCATGCCAAGGCCAGAGTGGCTCAGGGGAACGCTCCCGTGCCTGTCCCTGCGCCCCAGCCAGCGGCAGCTACAGCTCTCCTCACAAGCAGGGGAGTCATACAGAAACCAGGGCTTCAGGATATGCTTTGTGCTGGATGCCTGTATCACCTTTTCCTGACCCTTCAGCATCTCCAGTTGCTGCAAGAATGGTGCTTGACTTCTAAGTCAGCAAGGTACTGCTCAGGGACTGGCTTTGACCACAGGTATCTCAGGTAGTCCCACTCTTTCAAGGCAATATAGTTTTTCAAACATTAACTTAAGGGAAAGCAGGAAAAAAATCTGATAGAAACAAAATTTACTTATTCTGTGTAAAATAATTCTAATTTTTGGAAGTAAAACTGAACCATGGATGATTCATTCCATATCATATTTCTTTAGCTAAGGCCCGTACAGGGTGGAGCTAGTGTAGCTTCTCTATACCATTGTGGAACAACATTTGTTCCAGCTGGCATTGTTATAATGTCTTCTCTAGAAGTAATGGTTTTCCATTCTAAAGCATTTAAATACAGTCAGCCTTTGCCTTTTCTCCTAAAATGCATTCAATTAAAGATGGATTGTATAAAGGATTAAAATTCCAATGTGCCTTAGCACAAGCTTATTTCTTAGCAACATTTCATACAATGATCCCAAACACTTTGTAAAACAGAAGTCTGTCTTCCTTACACTCATAACCTGGTTTGGCTTTTCATGTGCAAGTGACATTCCACTAAAGCTAAATATATTGCTGCACTTCATTGTGTGAATTAAATATAAGATGGAATACAGACATGGAAAGCTAGCAACTTCCATTAGTTTTCATTGTTTACAGAAGCAGTATTTGTGTTATAGTCCGTGCTTCTGAAAGCGGAGGTGTAGTAACAAGTTAAGAATTTATTCTGGAATCAGCAGCCCAATTAAAGCAGTGAGGATGTGACTTAAGCAGAAACAGGCACTTAGGGAGTGCAGGTGTGGTGCCACTACCTGCTGCAAGCTGGCTGTGGATGGGGAAGAGAAATGCAGTGGAGGAAGGGACTCACCTTATGGCTGATGTTTGACTGCAGCCATAGACCAAGCAGCTCTTACATGCACTGAGGAGCCTGGGACCTCGAGAGCTTGTGTCCACAGGAGCACAGGGTCCCCAGTGACAACATATCTTTATATTAGGCGATTGTAACAATTAAATACACTGTAGCATTGCATTAATGACCTTGTCTCCCACTCTACGTGGGACACGTTTTGTTTTCTGAAGCTGTCAACAGAGACAAAGGTTGTTGGCTTCTGTGTTTGTCTCCGGTTTTCCTCTTAGAAATGGTGCTATGAGCTGCCATGGGGGCCATCTCGCTGCCTCTTCTGTCCTGGCTTAGCACTGCTCTCTCTGAAGTCAGGTTCACGTTGGACTCTGCAGTTCCTATGGCACTGCAACTGAACAATTGAATCAGACACTGTCTGAACTAAAAAGGTGAAAAAACAGGAGATCAGTCAAAACACATAAGAAATGTAAATACAATTCTATAAATCAATCTGCATATTAGCTAAAAGTCTTGGAATTTCTCTCATGAATCAGTTGGGAATATGAAGAAATAACCCTATAAAATAGATTTGCCTATGCCACCACAAAGAACTCTAAACCTAAAAATTAACTATGTTCTGAAAAGAGCCAATCTTAACCTAGAAAACAATTTTCCTTTTCTGCTTCTCGGTAATCATATCTAATGGACATGATTGGTCATTTCTCTAGACTCATGCTTTCATATACTAAATTCCTGGCTACTCAAAGATGGGTTTTTGTTGTTCTCATCCACAAACAGGGTTTGGGAGATCAGAGTGCTGCCCACAGGATGTGAGATAAGCAATACCTCTCTCTGCAGGACTGGATAAATTAATTCAACATTTCTTATTCAACAGTCACTTGACTATTTTTCTTTATTTAATTTATGAGCTTAATGCCACCACTCTCAGTTGCTGCATTCGTTGCAGAAATCTGCCCATGTTTTTTATCATGCCTGTTACCACTGTAAGCACACAGCACTCTGGTTCATCCCCATGTCAATTCCTTTTTTCTGCATCCAATCCTCTGCCCTCATTCCAGAGAAAAAAGCTCCCTGTTAAATGGGCATGTGCAATGCTTCTCCCCCCTGTACATGAACCACAAATGCCTCATTTTCCTGAGACAAAGTCAAGCTTTGAAAATGTGCACCCCACTTCAGATCAACTTAATGATGTTGCATTCTTAAAGAATTATTGAAATATATTGGGACAGTCCTGAGAACATAATTTTCATACAGGAAGCTAACTCATGTTCCCTATGGGCTGATTTTCCTTTATAGTATCAAAACCTAATAATTACTAACATTTATATTTCAATAATGCTCAGAGGTTTACACTATCTTCCACCAGGCAGATTATTTTTTTCATTCTAAATGCTGGATATTGTAATGCTTGTTAGGTAACACATAGGTAGGTAGAAATAATTCATTGTAAATCAAGATAGAGACACTCTGAGAGCATACAGTACCTGTTTGTTCATAAAGACATAAATAATTGGATTATAAACAGTGGCTGTTTTGGAAAAGAAGGCCGGAATTGCTGCCAGACGAGGATCCAGCTCAATGGAGGGATATGCAGTGACTAGGATAGAAAAGGTAGCGTATGGCATCCAGCAGATTAGAAAGGCGATGATCATAAAAACAACCATTCTAGTCACTTGTCTTTCAGGTCTCCTGGTAGTTCCCAGCCTGCCTTGTGCATCTGACACCTTTTAAGAAAAGAGAAAAGATTCTAGAAAAAAAGCAAACAAGGTGTCCAACCAGGGACTTTAGTAAGCTGCCCAGTTGCCGCGCTAGAAGGAAAGACCTGCTCTGCCCTAGTGCAGCAGCACAGAGGGACGGGTGCCCAAGTTACTGCTGAGGCACACCAATTACCATCTACCAGCATTCGTAAATTTTCCTTTGCTTAAGTATCTTTATATTTTTATTGTCAAAGTGAAAAAGAAGGACATCATGGTGAGTCATAAGCAGAGAGTGAGCTGAATTCAAGCACTTTCTATTCCATGTAGCTTTTGCAGACAGCTGGGTGTCTGGCATTATTACAGACAGCACACTGCTGAGGTGTGCAACCTCCTCACTGAGGGGCAGAGTCACACCAGGGGAGTTTGTCTGGCTCAGTGGTGTTTGATGGCCTTCCCCAGAAGAGCATTTATGATCTAATGATATCTGAATTAAAGTGGGATTGGGGCATTTAATAGGAATGCCCTCCCTCTTTTCCTCAGCGATCCTGCAAGAAGCTTAAGCACAGAGGTCCATACAGAAATTAGCTGATGTAAAACAGTGTCTTTCTGGAAACATCCTTGTTTGGTTTCTGATGACTTAGTGAAACAAGGCGCTGTTATGAAATGTTATTTTACAAGAGAAATAATTACTAAGTCTCTATGGCTCCAGAAAAACCTGATGCCAGGTCTTGCAATATTACATTCTAATAAAATAAGATTCGTTTGCATAACATGGCCTTTTAACTTCCTGCAGTAATGTTAGAACTCTATGGAGACATTTTCCCTAATACTTTTGAACTGCACTCGGACAATTCAATGTTTGTGCTTAAAGAGGTATAGATGCACCTCCTAGGAAGGGCAATGTCCTCACCTCTGTAGAAAATTGCAATTCACGTCAGTTTTTACCAAATATAAACATAACAACAACAGCAACAGCAACAAAGACAACAACAATGAATTGTTACAATAACTACAAGTTATTAGGCATCAACAAAGGCTCTGTTTGGTACTCATAAGATAGACTCTGCCAATATATGAGATTTCTGTAGCATTTTTTAATGTATGCTGTTCTTACACAGAGAGCAGCCCAGCCTCCCTTTCAGCAGAATTGCAGTCCCCTGGAAAAGGAGCCCAATCTCCTGTGTTGTGGTGTGAAGCAATTTCCTGTTTCACCTTTCCCAGTCCCTCAGGTGTGCCAACCTCCCCCTTCCCCTCCCCCTTGCCCCCTTGCTAGGTGCTGTCCATCAATCTCAACATTCCAGTGAGGCCCTGGTCTGGTTGGTGCAGTTCAAAAGAAGCCCCTCAGCCCTGGGGTCATTGGCCAGCCTGGGTGTCATTGTCCCCTGAGACTCCCCCCCTCCCACCTGGTTGGTGGCTCACCTGCCCCTTCCCCTCTCCCTCCCCCAGGCTTAAAAAGACTCAGGGCCATGCAGTCAGGATCCTGTTGGAGCTGGTACCAAGATTCGGAGATCTGTGACCATGGAATAAAACTCTGGATTAACCCTCTGGCAGAATCTGTCTCCTTTTCCTCTTCACTGTCGCCTAAAGCCTTTCCATTAGAGGTAAAAACTGAATTCCTGCTTGCCTGGACTTGTTCCAAGTGCCTGCTGCAGCACCCAGCCAGCCAAAGATGTCTCTGAGGTGAAAACACCACAGCTGCTGCCTCTGGTCAAGCAGCAAGGGCCAGAAGAGCCCAGGCACGTTCCACCCGGTAATATTGGGATCATATTTCAATTTCATATTTCATATATCAATTTCATATTTCAATACTCCTGTACTGCACTTGCAAAGGTTTCATCTTTGTCTCATATCAGCCTGGTCTTTTTTTCACATATAGCTTTTCCTTTCTCTCTAAATACTGATAAGGAAAAACATACTGGTTCTTTATCTTCCATACAAAGGAACACTGCCATAATAATTTACTTCCATTGTAAATTGCTAATTTGTTATTTTCCCAAAGATTAATTTATTTCATCAACTTTGATGTTGAAGTGAAAGCTACAATTAGAATTGTAAAGCTGGGGTCATTGGGACTGAGGGCAGATGATTCCACTCAGGAACAAGCCTGCACTGTGACAAGTGTGGAAAAAAGTGCATGAAGAGGGGTGGTTGGGAACATCAAGACACCAGTCCTGGTGCTTGGATCCCTCTCTGTTCACTGTAGTCAGATCTTTGAAATGACCTTAGTCGTGAGATCTAATCATATGTCAATTCAGTATAGAGTTACAGAATGAGCTGCAGGTACTGGCTTTTCAGAGCTTTGCAGTAAACAGAAATACCAATATTGTCCCAAAATCTTGTCCCCAAATCCTGGACCAAATAGGAATTTTCCTGTTCTATTGTCTTCTTTGTCACTTTTTGCAGCTTCTCCTTTGGATCAGGTAAACACAACCATTAAAGAAAATTCAAAAGCATTTCTCAAGTCTTTTAAATATTCCTGGACAATCTAATATTTTGTTTATTAAACAGCATTGCATTATTTGCAAAGGCTACATCTTATTTTGAGCACGTTACTAAGTAGTAGGCAGCAGTCTTAAAATTTACAACTGCAGTCATTTAAAGCAGCATTCTAATTTGCCTGGTTTGAGTCCTATGAAATATCACTGAATGGAAGCATAATTGGGAATAAAGCAGTACTGGATCATTCTATTTATTTATGAGGTAGACATTCTTTCACTTGTATGATGTTTGACTAATGAGATGTACTGATAAGTGATGTGAACTCCACACTTTAAAACATCACTTCTAACCATAGCATGAATTTCTGTGTGTAAAGGTAATTATATAAAAAGGGATGTAATTGACTATGTTTGCTGCCTGAAAATCTGACCTGCTTATGTCTGATCTTTATAGAAAATCAAACACAGTAATTCCAAACTTTTGCATGCACACACATTTTAAAAGTTTACTTATGGGTGCTTCTTCTTACCTTTTTTAACTTCTGCACCAATTTTCCATAGGATCCCAAAATCACCAATAAGGGTATTATAAAACAGGTGGTGAAGAACGTAATAATGTATGTACGGTCAGCATAAGCTCCTGAGTACCTGTATAAAATACAAAATACCTTTGTATGTATTACTACTACGTGTTCTTATTATTTTCTTGGAATATTAATCTTTCTTTTCAAAGATGTCACTGGTATTTTTGTCAAATGTTTTTATTCAACACGCCCCTTTGCAGCTCTAGTCATATCCCCAGATGGAGCCCTGGGCCATCTCCCTGCCCAGGGGCTTGGAGGGGATCCTACAACTATTGGTACACTCTGAAAGAGCTGTGGGGCTGATTACATGGGAAGGGACACGTAGTCCAACATCCTGCTCCCAGCAGAGCCAGCCATGGGGTCAGACTAGCTGGCTCAGAGCTTTGTCCAGTCTTCTGAAAAAAAAATCTATCTCTTTGTCCTTTGACTCCTGACAAAAAACATAAGGTCTAGAGTGATTGTTTTCATTAGAGATGGAGGCTCCATCCTTTGAAATTTTTGTTTTAGAAACTGATCACAGAAAATTGTGATCAGGTTTATTATAACTTTCTTTATATCTGGGGTTTTTTTCGGAGATTTACATAATCTTTAACCCTTTCCTTTAACTTCCTGGCCCTGAGGCATCCTGAACTGCAAGTTTCATTTTTTTACCATACTCTGTGAGAGTGGCCTTACCAGTTAGGCTCACAAGTAGTTCCAATCTTACTGGGGGTGTAACTGCTCCAACCAGCTGTTGGTGGAATGGTCCAAATGAAGGAAAAACTCCACACAAAGACAATTCCTAGAGCTGCATGCTTCCCCCTCAAGCGCGCATTTCTCAGGGGGCGGCAGATCACAACGTACCGCTCAAAAGCCAGCAGAGCAAGAGACCAGAGAGCCACAATGCCTGTAGCAAGAGAACACAGTCAGCATCAAATCTGGGTGGATCCCTGAACAGCAAACACCATCCCAAATTACAGAATCCCTGAACTGTTTATTTTGAAAAGCATCTCTGGAGGTCAGTCATCGCTCCCCCTCAAGCACTGTCCATCTAGTAGGTTGTTCAGGACCAAGTCCAGCTGGGTTTTGAGTATCTTTGGAGATGAAGACTCTGCAACAACTCTGGGCAACCAGTTACACTCTTTGACTACCCACAACATCAGACACCTTTTCTATCAACACAAGTTATGAAAGGATGAGCAATTCATGTGCATTATTCTAATACTAATGAAGAGCATTTCATGTTTGTCCAGTTTGCCAATCTACAGTACAAGGGCTACAAAACCAAGCAGCTAATCAGGCCAGTTAAGTGATTAGGACTTGCACTTTTAGTTCTACACTGAAAAGCTGCAAATTATGCGTAGCATCCAAATTAATTAACTAAAATCTTCAAAATATTATCTTTGCAAAAATTATTTCAGGCTATCAGAAAACTCAAACCTGCAGACAGGTGCCCACAACATCAAATTATCAATTTAGGCACATATTACCTGGTGGGACACCAAAATCTTGAAATAGCCTGATCTTTCTCCATAGGACAGAGCTTACATGCCACAAAGTGATGTAGAAGCATTGTCCCTCAGTGACATTCCCTCTGTCTAGCTTAAACAGGCAGAGAGCAGCTGTGGGACTCCTTTTCAGGCTGAGGATCAGCACTGTGTGATTTAGAGCAGGGACAAGCATTACTGGCTGTCTCCATGCAGCTTCAGAGACAGGGACAGGACACAGGAATGAGTGTCTGTCTCAAGTGAGTAGATGCCCCGTTCCAAACTAATATCCTGTTTACTCAGCAGAGATGTATTTACACGGGGTACGGTGTGGTGAGGATTTTTCCTCTTAGAGTACTTCTAATATTTTTTTTTGTAGTAAGTGAACAAAGCCATGAAAATAATCACAAAAAGATGTTGGTGTGCAGACTGACTGTTACAGGCGTGTCCCTGCTCCTCAGAGCCCCTGGAGGACAGAGAACACAAGATGTTCTGTGCTCTGAGATTTTCCACAGTTTATGGGCAGCCACTCACTCTTTTTTTCTCTCTCTTATTTATCCATATATGCACACACCGAAATACAAATATTGAAAATAGCTATACACAAGGACTTTTTTCCTGAAATTGTTTTACCGTAAGCCCCACAACACTGCTATTCTATTGGAAAGCTTTTCCTCATTCTGTGAAACATATTCAATAATCACTACACATGCAACAGGCCATGTATATGACAGGGATAGAGAGATGTATTTTTCACTCTCCACTACAGAATACATGTAACAGGGGATAATACCAGTGAATTCAAAGGCATGCAAAGTCAGTGACTTGGGAAGCTACAGTAGAATACATTTAAGGAAGTTGAAAAAAAGAACATACAACTACAAACAAAAGCAAACTTACCAAAAAATGTGACAGCAAATCCTTCCAATACGCAAGTCCAGTATCCCATAAAAAAATAACCTTTTAGATTTGTTAAAAAGCTGATAGTACCACCAGTCAGTGAGACCAGGAAATCAGCCACAGACAAATTGACTATAATATAATTGACAGGTTGTCTCAATTGCTTGAACTTAAAAGTTACCAGGATTACAGCCAGGTTCTCAGCAAGTGACAGGGAGGTCACCAACAACATTACTGCTGCCAGAAGCCTGAATTGCCAGGGCTGGATGGAGTCCAAGGGACGACGGAAGGGATCCCATCTGGCAGGAGCAAAGTAACTGGGCAAGAGCGACCCATTTTCAAATGCTCTGAATGCATCCATTAATTCGTTCAGCAGCAAAAATAATATATAATATTGGAGTTTCAAACCTGTAAATAATATTCAGGATTAAAAGGAGATGTTTGCTCTCTCCAAAAGAAGTGTGAACAAACTCCCCCTCCTTCTGCTCTCCTATAATAACTGAGGAAAAAATGTTTCAGCTGGAGGAAAGTTTAGTGCTGCAGAATGAAAGTGGGAAGAGGGATTAGCAAGAATATCTCTTAGAGCAACTTCTGTCCCTCTCTGCCCACTGCCTCTCACTGCAGCTGTGCCTTTATCTGTAGTAAGGTTCCTCCTCCTGCAGCAGCCAGCAGTGCTGAAATACCCCTCAGCCCAGCCCTGCTCCGCTGGGAAAAACATCAGTGTTTGCTTGGAAGCCTCCCACACTTCCATCACTTTAAAAAGAAAGGCTACCCGGTGAGAGAGAGTTGTCCTTGGTGAGCCAGAGAGCTTACAGGAATTCGGGAAAGCCGACTGTAAGTGATAGAATCAAAATAATGGGATGTTTGACATTGTACTGACCCTTTTCATCGGGTGGTTCCCAAAGAATTCTCCATGGATGAACTTTTCTCTACAGACCTTCAGAAACCAACAGATAAGGCCACACATGGAACCAACAGGGAGCAAAACCTGACCTAGGGACTTCTTTCCTCTAGCTGCACAAGATTAGATCCCACTGTCTCTTTGCAAAGCAGTTATTTTTTTCTTAATCAACCTAACGATCTCAGATAATCAATAAATGAAAATAAATGTTCTAAATATTTCACTTGCTCAGAGGCCTTTATAATGACTGATGTAAAGATAACATACATCTGGCTGTAGTGATATGTGCAATACACATGGGTTCTCATTATATACATGTCATATTCAGTGAAGTTCTGCTGCTAATTTCTAGCCCCAAAATGCATTACTTTTAGCTCATCTTCTGAGTAGTCCTGTTTTCTTAGATCAGCTGGTGATTGAAAAATGTTCTGAAAGCCTTCTAAATATAATTACAATACTAAAAACTGAAATTCAGCATCAACAGAAACAAAAGCAGCCAAGGTTTTGCTTCATACCAACGACTGAATCTATCTTTACCCAAAACATTTCCTGTAGCCTAGGCAGGTAGCTGGTAAAAAGACATGACTGCACATTGCTGACAGGAAGAACTGTGCGTGCTGTATCATTTTGCTGGCAGAATTTGTCAGTTTGTTGCTTAACGTCATCCAACCTCTGATTAAATTGATGGAATTTAACGGAATAGTAAGAATAGAGGCATTACTGAAAGTTTTTTGCAAATATGGATTTTAAGAGCTGATCCTGACTTGATTCTACATGACTTAATATGTGCTTCTGCTCTAAATAGCAATTTTGGATATTATTAAGAGTATTCAAGATCCTACATAAAACATTCCTATCTCTTTCTGTTCTCTTTGAAAAAAAACAACCTTAAATTTGAAAAATTAAAGGGGCTTTTTTATTTCTTTTGCCCTATCAGTAAATAATTTCTTTCGGTATCTCTGCAGATGGTTTCCCCAAGTAGGGCTGATCTGAACATAAGTTCCATTTCTGCAAACTGAATACACTTGCAGGTGCTTTAATGAACATCGAAATAATTCCTGAGTACTTCCTTTTGAAATGCACCAGAAGTTATCATCCACATATCTTCTTTCCTCCAGTGTCAATGGAGTTCATAATTGCCTGTGATTGGATATTTCTGATGGCATAACATCTTTTATCTATTTTCTTGCCCATCTGAATTAGGTTTTACGAAATAAATTTTATTTTTGTATTTGTACTGAAATGGAACATTTATTGCTGAGAATTTATGGGAAGAAAATAAAATGTTCTGAGATACTACTTTAAGAGAGTTTTAGGTCCTGTATAAATCAAGCCATATGTCACTTCATCATAGACAAAGCTCCATGAAAAAAGAGCAATCACTTCTCAGTTCAGTGACTCTCTTATTCCTAGCTCAAATGTCACAGATTTATGTCCCTCTATGCTTCAGATTGTTCAGGGTTAATTTTTTAAACAAGAGTATCTATTGCAGCCCTAAATAAAGAGTTTGCATATCTTGCAGCCCATTAAATGAAGGCTTATACTGATCCAAATGCCATTAAATTCTATCAGCAAAAGTGAGTCCAGTTAAATCAGGGCAAAGAGGGGGTGAAGAGGTGAGGATACACAGAAGGACCCGTGCCAGCAGCTTTTCCTCGTGCTGTGGGGACGCTGCCCTTGAGCGCTCGCTCCCTTCTGGCCCAGCAGAGGGGTCAGCCCGGGGAGGCACCGCCAGAGCTGCTCACCGGCCTGGAGAGCCAGGGTCACATCAGGCAGAGGCTTGCTGAGCTGTCCTTCAGCTCCAAAACAGCAGAAACTGCTCAGGCTGCTTCAGAGCACAGGCAGAGGACTTGCAGATAGACTGCCTGAGACATCCTGTGTGAGAAATTCCGCATCACCTCTGCTACTCAGTGCTCTGGAGAGAAAAGCAAAGGAAAGGTGTTGAGAGAGGGAATGAGGCTTTCTCAGGCAAGGATGCAGGGCGGAGTGACTATGAATTTGCCATAGTGAAAGGCAGTGCACAAAGATAGCTGTCCTGATCTTGTTGACTTCTCTACCAGAAGTATTACACCCCAGTAGACAGTTTTCTTATATAATCATAGGGAAATGCAAAAAGCACAGGCTGAGAAGAAGAGTCAGAACAGTCAGGGTAACACTGAGATCCAGCACAAAGTAAGCTTCTTTATGCAAGGAAAAAATTCACCACTTCTGCAACCTGATAAATGACCAGCAAGCAGCTCTCACAGCTCTGATTTGGCATTAACACAGCCATGGGACTCTGGCTAGAAGCTGGCCAGGGTGCACAGGCGGGCTTGCAACCCTTGATAAGAGGAACCTTTGACAGCACAGGGCTCTCCTCTCCAATCTGCTGGTTGTGCATACACTGAGTAAGATATTTCTGCATTAACTGCGCTAACAGCAAGCACTAAGCACATCTCCCTCTGCCTTACTATTCTGTGGATAAATTAAGATATATGTACTTCAAGAGAAATATTGTATGTACAGAAAAAATGGTTTAATCTTCCAAATGCATTATGTTTTCTGCCTCCTTCACATTTACAGATGTCTGATTTGCCATTCTAATTATCTTTCCTATTGAAGTAGACATTTTCTAAATGTTTGTTTTTGGAAAGAAACAACTATAATATCTTTCCACGATTTTTTCTCCCTTTGAAAAGGTAATTTCGAACCCTTCTTTCCATGACATCTTGTAAGTACTGCTTCTCAGTCTTTTAACCCCTGTTCCAGTAACAGGTCTTGTTAGTAGTTTTTTTCCTTCCAAATGTGAGTTCATACAGAGTTTTTCTATATCATCAACAAATAAAAAGTCCTTACATTCTGCATAAGTGGTTACAAGATACATTTACTTTTTGCAATTCAGATTATCTGAGCTAAAATGAATGTTAAACCATTCAGAATTATTTTAATCAGTATAAAAAAATCCTGTCTTTCATTACCAAAACAAGGGGCAGTAGAGGAGAAGAATGACCTCAGAAAACCTGAATACATAGTGTGGCATAAAGTGAAGCAACAGCACAGAAGAAAGGATTACTGTCATAATTCATTTGGCAAATTGGATGTCAAATGAGCAAAAATTAATGCCAGAAAGGAAAAAAAGAGGTATTGGTCATTTGGCATGTGAGAGGATAGAAAGTGCACATTAGAATTTGTGAAAGTAAAGTTAAGCCTCATGATTTCACATACAGAGTGTACATATAGAAAAAAAAGTTACATTCCATGCTGATAGAATATCACTAGAAAGTGTTTGCTAATATCACATATAAAAAAAACTGCTAGAAATAAAACTGCCTAAACATCTGCTTCATTCATAAACACTTGCTGTGAAACACAGCACGTATACTCTCCAGAGCAATTCATTCTCTCACTAGAGCAAAAACTAACTTCCTGGTCAGATTTCAGGAATATATTTCAAACATATTTGATATTGATGACCTTAATGTAATAAAGTAATGTATTAGACTGGTCAGATTTCAAGGAAGGAAAATCTCACTGCTTCAAGATACTTAAGTATCTATAAAGACAAGTTAAGACATACAAACCAACAGGACTAGTTACAGAGAATGTCCTTGTCTTTTTCTGTTTTATTGGAATTGCTTTATTGGAAGAGCTAAGATCTCTTAAATCACTATATATGTGTTCCTGTCTCCAATACAGGGTACATACCATGCCTTTTAAAGGTAGAGTTGTCTTTAAATGAAGCTTTTTAAATCCTTTTTCTACTTTCATTTTTCTTTAATATGGGATAATTTCTCTGTGAGTTATTCCAGTGTATTTTTAAACTACATTATCTGACACAACTTTCTGTTTTCTACTATGTGTTCTAAGAAATCCTGTTATGCAAAGCACAGTTGAGCTCATTCCCTTCTGTTCTCAACTGCAAAAGAAACAGTATCATTCCCTTGTCAATCCAATTAGCATACACAAATTAAAAGTATTATTTATGTCTGTCAAATTGGTCATTATAGAATGTATTATCTATATAACTAATCCTGAACATACTCCTGGATTGGTGAAATGACCAAACTGAAAAAGTACAGTTTTGAGGCATTTTTCTGGTGGAAACGCACTTGGTTATTATTCTAACAAAATTCTAAATACTATCTAGTTTCTGACATGAAGGTTTCACTGTGTTTCATGCTGTATAAAGGGAACAAAAAGGCTCCAGGATGTGATTTCAAGTGAATATACACTGGCAGAGTTCAGCCTCTTGTGTGTAAGAAGGGAGGAGTGCCCAGTGCTAAAAGCTGTGACCTCTGGCAGCACATCTTCCTGCAGAGAAGCTCCTGACCTGCACAGGCCCTTCTTATTTAAACGATGCTTGGAGACCCTCTTCCTGCACCAGCAGGGAAAATAACAAGATGGTGAAATCAAATTACTAGAGACCAGACAGAATAACAGTAAAGAACAAAGAAAAGAGAGAGATGGCAGTTTCGAAAGCG